TGGGAGCAGTTTCTCATAATTACTATCATCTAAGATTATTAGATGTCAAACACAGTTTTGATACAAGGTTTCCAATTAACAATAATGTGCAAAAGACTTGGGTCACCAGTTATTTTCGATAAAGATCTTGTAGTGTTTTAACATGGTTTTTGGACTTTTCTGAGGAAAGTTAGAGGGGCTCCTTTTAACTTCTGTTTATTTCAGTCCATCCATCCATCCATCCATCCATCCATCCATCCATCCATCCATCCATCCATCCATCCATCCATCCATCCATCCATCCATCCATCCATNTCCATCCATCCATCCATCCATCCATCCATCCATCCATCCATCCATCCATCCATCCATCCATCCATCCATCCATCCATCCATGCAGCAAGAGTAAAGTTTGTAAAATAACATTTTATTCTCCTACTACAGGTAAATCTAGACTTTCCCATACCTGTCACCCTGAAGGAGATGATGTGTCAAACTGCAGCCCTCTGAGCAGAACTCTCAGGTCAGCTCCAGCTCAGCCTCTGAGCAGCTCCTTCCCCCTGCCCTACCCGTGTAATGGGACACTGCTAAACGATGCTGAGAGCACCCCTGTGAAGTCATGGCCTGTTACACCTGACTTGCCCCTCGCTGCTCTTGTTAGCTTATCTTCCTCCGGGCTAATTTATGACCCTATCAGACACGCTGTGCTGCTGGCTACTGTACGGACTAAAACTAATTACTTAACTAATTACTGGGGTTTAATAACTCAAGTACGCTCACCTTATTTTTGATCTTTAATGTATAATGAACGTGCATGGCCACACGAGGACAACTCTAATGGCTGGTGTTGCTATCATCTGATCATCAGGGATGTTGAATCATTCAAAAAGCTGTAAGTAAACAGAAAGTTATCTATACTTTTTTAAAATCAATATGTAACCAAGATGTGTACTTTTTGGTAGGAATGCATGTTTGTTTCTTTCTTTGTCCTGTCAAACATGCATTCTTCCTTCATTTGGATTCCTAATTTGCAAGCTCTGGGAGTGGCTCAGCCGTACTGCATGCTCACAGTTTTTGTTTCAAACTATCTTGGTACCCTCCCTCGCTTTACTCTTCTTTTCAACACCAATCATCAAAGGTCAGTAAATGAATAGATTATTTTAAAATTAAATAACCATATTTGACCTCACAATGTGTGTGCCTGTCCTTGATCTTGATTTAGTTATAAGTAATATTAATGATGTCTGCTAAGACTTTGAGCATTGTCTGTGATGTAAGAAATACTATTTTAGGATGTTTTCCACTGTGGCTTAGTCTAATGAATGTTTATCCATACATTTGAGGTCATCTTGATGTGATTTCATTTGAAAAAATCTCTAAAATATATAACAAGTTGCCTCTTTTTATTCTTTTGAGGGGAGTAGATGTTTTTTTTTATTCTAATAGACATTGATATAAAGCAAATCAGACTAAATATCTACATGTTCCTATTTATATCAAAGCTACTAGCCTTACAGCACAGCAAACTGTTAAAAGGAATTCGTTTTTCTATGTTTTTTCTTAACTACTTCTTCACTCCCTCCCAAATACTTAATTGAGACATTGCTCAAAAAGTCAAACAATTTCCTGTGATCTGTTCTCTGATTACTGAATGCTGGCAAATGTATATGCAGATCATTGCATTAATGTATTTTATAGTCTCAGCTTTAATTTAGTAAAATACAATTTGGTCCAAGAATAATTTATTCAAAGATAATCCAATTACTGTAGATAATCAAATCTGAATCAAATATCAGCAGTCCTTCCATCAATCCATCTTCCACTGCTTATCCGTCAGGATCACAGAGAGCTGGTGTCTATGTCCAGCAGCCTATAGGCAAAGGAGGTTGAAAGCCTGGGCAGGCTGCTTGTCCATTGCAGGGTAACACAGACATACAACAATGCACACACAATCACACATGAGGGCAGTTCAGATAAGCCAGTAAATCTAACAGATGTGTTTTTGGAGTGTGGGAGGAAGTTGGAGCACCCAGAGAGAACCCAGATGTGCATAGGGAGAACATTAAAAATCCATGACTTCATGCAGCAGTGTAACGGTGCACCACTGTGCTGCTCTCATGCTGTCCAATTGGTTTCAAATTATAATATGATGTATTAAATGAGAGCCAGTACCAGGCTCGGTATTAGTCGAATGAAAGCTACATTTTGGTCAGTGGCTTTGTTTAAAATAGAAATACTTCTTAGCATTAAATTACTCAGTCAGAGGCACTGTCTTTGAGAAAGACAAAGAAAGATTGCACACATTGGCAAGCTGTAACAATGGCAAGAATGATAACTGACTTGCTCCAGTAAACAGTCAAAAAAAGAAATCCCGTACTTGGATGTATCTTGTAAGGAAGTAATAGCAGGAATTTCCTTCTCAGTGGCTTTTTTCAGAAATTAGACACATTTCAAAAGGAACAACACCGGAAAAAAAAAAAAGATAAAACACAGTGAAAACAATATCTCAAACACAAATTTAATTTGGGAAAAAGACACAGCTAATCATACAAGAAGGAACACTTCACAAAAAGGAACAAATAAATAAAGTTCATGGTGGCAACATATCCCTGAAGTCATTCTTCCAAAAAACAGAAATGTCCATCAAGGGCAGCGTTTGGCTAGAAGTACTTTTATAAAGAAATAAATAAAAAGTGCATATACAATGGTATTATCAAAAATCAGGTTATCAGTATATCCTGTAAAAAAGACACAGTTAACTAAAGAAACATTGGGCCAAAAGTACTTTTTATGATTACACACTAAAAAAAAGATAAAGACTAAATCACAGCAAACTTTCAAATGGAAAGAGAACACGCTAAACACAGATAAAATAACTTTATAACTATCTTTACCAAATGCAATGTTCTTTTTATTTATGTTTTTTGAGTGAAAATACAGTTATAATTCATGATTTCTCTATTTTGAAATATATATATTATATATATACAGAGAGAGAGAGAGAGAGAGAGAGAGAGAGAGAGAGAGAGAGAGAGAGAGAATGATAGATATATAGTTGTAATTGTGTGTTTTAAACACTTGCGTTTACACAGTTGATATAGGTTCAATGATGGTTGTTCTGGGGAAGTCATTATTAAATACACCAACAAACCAATGTTGACAATATAGAACTTCTCTGAAAAAGGAAAAGCTGAACAGAGATCAGTGATCAGTGTAGCCATCAATAACTACACTCTAGTATGAACAGTACCTAAACAAAGCAAAATGAGTAAAGGATAAGGACTAGTTTAGATAGAAAATACAAGACACATTAGTTTTTTCTTTTTAAAAATTTACATCAATAACTTCCTGCGAGGAAGAGACACAGTTAAAGGCATGCATACTGGGCTTTCAGGATGTTCTACAGCAGGCTTCCTCAATTCCTGTACAGGAGGTCCACCGTTCTGCACCTTTTAGATGTGGCTCTGCTTCCACACCTGAATCAAATGGTTGAAATACCTTCTCAGCATGCAGTCAAGTTCTCCAGAGACCTGCTAATGACCTGATTATTTGACTCACGTGTGTTGAAGCAGAGACACATCTAAAAGGTGCAGGTCAGTTGACCTTTTAGATGGGCTGGAACTGATGAGTCTTGTTCTAAAGGAGAGAAAACAGAGAAATACACAAATTTAACAGCAAAGTTATCTCATGCAGTGGGTTCCTCCACAATAGAAGACAGATAAAGGCAGTAAACCCAAGTCAGGTATACATTATACCATGAAAAAGCAAAAGAACTTCCGCAATGCTAATAGTATTCAATTAGCTTTGACACAAAAGAGACAGCTACACACGTAAGAACCGATCAATGTCTACATTAGATGGTAAAGACTGAAAAAGAAAGAAGCCAAAGTCAATTAATTACCCCTGCAAATAAATAGCTGAAAACAATTGGCCAAGATTACAAAGAGAGAGTGCAATGGCAGCAATAAATCAATCAATGGTCTGCCCAAAAATACACAAGTAAAGCCTAACAACCCCGATAGAGAATTCTTTCTATAGTCATCAGAAAAGAAAAACAATGAGAAAAAGATAAAACAAAGCAGCCCTGGTTCAATAGTTTCTTCAAGGTCTCCATTCAGGAAAGAGTTCTGCACTTTAATGCAAAAAGAAAAATATTTTACACATCTGAAAATCTTTATCGCTTATTTAAAAGGTCCAAACATGTCTATCTTTATACAATAGTAGTTGAGCCTTACATGTGTAGCTCATTATATGTGCACTTGTACACAGGCTGTGGTTAATGCCACGTCCAAACACAGTTAATGAAAAGCGACATCGAGCCAGCGCTCCAGGGCACACAGGGTTAGATAACCCTTCACAAACAGACATAGGCACACATACTGTTTTCTCTGAGGGATTATTTCCTTGCAGCCTGCTTGCGCTCTGGTTGGAGGTGTCCAGTGTGAGTCTTCAGGTTTCGTCTTCCTGTCTCGTGTGTCAAAGTGTGTTGACACATGCAAAGGCAGTGATGTATTATGGAGGGCATCTGCAGATTGCTTGGTTCAGTACAAAAGATGTGCAAATACCTGCACAGGGATTCACACATAGGAGTCTAATTGCTCTAAGCAGATAAAGGCTGATAACATTTCTGAGAAATATAATCAGTGGATCCGTCAGTTTTATCCTCCTACACGCACAGATGTACTCATGTTTGAATCACTGTGAAGATAATTGATTTAGATAAAACAAAGCCTGAGTAGGCATGAGAGAGAAGCTCATATAGATTTCTAAACATAAAGATGGCCTTTTGCACCAATGCATGCCCTAGGCGTGTAAACAGCTTTCCTTCCAATATGAATGAGCATCTATATAGGGAAAGGCTCATGCTGCAACACAAGCTAATTCCTGTTAATCCCACTGCCGCTCTTACTACTTACAGAAGGTTTCCAATGGCAGCCCCTGAGCAGGGGAATTGCTGGTGAGATTAGCTCCCATGTTAGCTCCTCCTCTGCAGTTTCCTCTCAGGGCCGGGCCAGACCGGGTCTGCTGCAATGCTAGCCTTTCACTCAGAAATGGATTAATTGTCTTCTCAAAATGTCCCGTTTCTTAACTTGGGAATAATGTAAGTGCCAGTCACCTTTTCCAATATTCAATTTTAACAGAGGTTTTGTAGACGGTAGGATCAGTGTAAAGCACAAATGGATACTGTTGAGAGTACATTTGTTTGAAAGTATAAAAGTCTAAACAATATTTTGCTTAATTGTTTTGTTGATCTTATTTTCTGAACATATCCATACAAGTTTAAAGCGTTCATATTTATATTCTTGTATCTCTCTTTCTCTTGTATCTCTAACATCCATTGATTTCATTATAAAACTAAAAAAGGCCGTCATTCCTGATTCTATAGATGTGTCCCACTGTGAAAGAAGCGAAAATTAGAAATAGGTCTATGACTTCCTTATATGTAGTAACACCCAAGAGGTTTAGTGTTTCTGGTAAAAGGCTTGTCTTCGGATATCTCCTCCTTATCCAAAATACAGAATACAAATAAAAAGGTCTAAACCATCTGTTTCTTTAGATTTTGCTTAGGTTATAAACTTAGGTTATCAAAAGTTATTCTACTTTTTTTTAAGCACATCATTATGTTTTTTTATTATGGTAAGTGGACCGTAGTCCTCCAGTTCATAGTCTACTGTATTCCAAGCTTTCAATAAGATTCTCTTCAGGAATCAGTCTACTGAACAGATCTTGACTTTGAATGGAACAAATCATGTCATAGCTAAATGTTTAGAGAATTAATTTGAAAGTTGTTTTGCAAGGTCACCTACAGTATAATGTATTAAGACTAGTTCAGTGATTGATTTTAAGACCGTTTTGTGTAATTAGTTATAGTAAAGTAGCTTATTAAACACACATTTACAAATAAAAAGACATCCCACAGACATTCCTTGATACTAAAAAAAAAACTTTTTTTTAAAACCGATGCTGATTAATATGATTTCGTTGTCAGTCTATCTGTTCCCTGAGGTGCACTGCTGATTTTTGGGACAGATTCTATAAGAGACAATTAAAGTCACAGTGTTTAATATTTACAGGGATTTACTGACAGAAATGTAATGTATTATAAAGAGGATGTTATTATCAGACTGAGAGTCTCAGTCTTCATGTCTGTGTTTCCCTGAGAAATTGCTGTTTAAAATTATATAGGAGTGGGTCATGCATTTATGGAGGCAGACATTTTATGCTACGGCGGCACAGAGCTGAAAACCTACTAACCGTCGAGATCGCGATTACAATCAAATGTGACTGCAGCACGTATAGAGTAGCAACAACAATAACTTCACTACATGTAGCGCTCAGTGCTGTATACAAAATTTGTTGAATTAGGATTTTTGATATCACACAGACCACATGGGTATACACCAATGTTATTTTTTGGATACATCCTTTATTTACTTCTCGTCGGCTCCTTTGGAGAGCTTTAAATCTCTCTGTTTCCGCTCCGGTCATCCCGCTAGCATCTCACCCCTCCCTTGGCCCTGGTTGGATGCCCACTCTGGCTTCTTTGCCCCCTTTTTTTCTGTCTTTTTCGTCTAATAACCCCCACACCACAGTAAAGACTTGGACTCTCTAAACGGGTATTATGCCCTTCCACCCATCACAATCTCTCTATCAAACTACATGACTAAAATTACTTAGTCTGCTTATATCACTATGCTAAGCAGCTCAGTGAAACATGATGTGGAACAAATATTGGGTATATTTGCCTACTGTATATTAAATCTATAGCCTACACAGACTGATAAAATACTAGTTATGGAATTAACTTTGTAAACAATCATTGTCATCGCTTGAAATCGCTGACTGCCCTATAACAGGTTTCTCTGCTTTAGAGCAGTCAGTTCTGGACATTATCAACAGTAGTCTTTCCTCTGGAGTTGTACCTTTGAGTTTTAAACATGCTGTGGTCCAGCCCCTGTTGAAGAAAAACTGGCCTTGATGGCAGTGTGGTAGCAAACTTCAGGCCCATCATTAAGGTACTTTTTATTTGTAAAATCTTAGAAAAAGTTGTTTCCACTCAACTCAAGTCATTTTAAAATGAACATGGTGTCCTGGAGGTGTTTCAGTCTGCTTCCAAATCTCTGCATAGCACTGAGTCAGCTTTGTTAAGAGTTTTTAATGACATCCTCTTGGCAAATGACTCTATTGACCCTGTAATTCTCATCCTCTTAGATTTGGCAGCAGCCTTTGACACTGTAGACCACAAGACTCTAGTGTCTCTGCTAGACCACCTTGTTGGCATTGGTGGTACGGCACTGGACTAGTTCAGGTTTTATTTTTCCTATAGAAATCATAGAATGAGCCTTGGAAACTACGAATCTAGCTCCGCTCCTGCTTCTTATCGGGTTAGGACTCTATCTCAGTTCATTGTACTTACTGCCCCTGAGGTCCATCCTGAGAAGCCACTGCATCTCTTATCATTTAAATGCTGATGATAGGCAGATATATGCGCCTTTTACAAAGAAAAAATCCTTTTTCTTTGCACTACTGCTAGCATGCCTTAATGACATTAAAGCCTCTTTACTTTGTATATCTTAAGCCGGGCATACACTGTGCGATTTTTTCAATCGTTGCACACAGCTGCAGCTCACACTATACGAGTAAACCGCAGGGTTTTGTCCTACAGTGTGAGTTCACAGCTCACGATGTTTGTGCAGCTCTCATGCGATCTACCTGCTCACACTGTACGACCAAAAAACACGTCGGACTCAGCTACGCAGTGAGATGGAGCTGCTCTGACTCATCTATCCGGAATCCAAACAAATAGAAGGGGAATACAAAGCTCACTAGAGTGAAATGCTCTGCCTTGGCAATTTGTGCAATCTTGTGCTGAAAGCCCTAAAAAGAAAAGGCAATAACATATTTGGACAAAGACATGGCTGAGCAAACGTGGCTACTACGGTCTGTCAATTTTACAGAAAGATTTCCATTTCACTCATTGCATCCCCGTCATACTTCTGTGTTTACATCTGAGAGGAAGAAGAAAAAGAAGAATCCTCGTTTGCGCATGCGCACTGAGCAATTTGCCCAAGACTGTCGGGAGAAAATCAAACATGTTTGATTTTCAAACATGTTTGATGTTCTCCTGTGAAAGGTGGTTGTGAGAGGCTGAGGCCCCTCGTTACACCCTGTACACCTCATGACGCACCATCAGGCTGAAAGTTGGCCCGATCGCAAAATTCTCACAAGACTGGTAAATCGCGCCAAAAACCGCACAGTGTACGGCCAGCTTAAACGAGGAAAAACTGAAGTGATGATGTTTGGTCCCAATAACCTTTGCTAGCAAAGTGTTGGGTCTTTGAAGGCTACATAACGATACAGGGGTCATTATCTGGTTTAAAGTAAACGTACTTATGGAAATAGTTGGGTACCATTACCCTCTAGTTGGTTGAACAGTTGGTTAACGTGGAAAACTGTTCTTAAATCCCGTCATTATTGCTAAATGAGGATTTGTGCTTAGATCTTAGCTAGCAGCCACTGTTTGTGTAACATAAAGAGATTAAATAATTGATGCTTCTGTCCGTAGTGCTCTTTTTTCCCCCTCTACATGTAGATAGAGATCGCTTCATCTATATTCAAGTTTTTCAAACTCTAACCCTGAAGCACCGATATCTTAGAACTTTTTGGTGTGTTACTTTTTCGACAGACCTGAATCAAATGGCTTAACTATCTCCCTAGTAGCATTCAAGTTCTGTTGGAGTCAGGTGTGTTGAAGCAGAGACACATGTAGAGGTTGCAGAACACCGGCCCTTGAGGATTTAAGTTTGATATACCTGTTCGATTGCTCAGTTTNCAAATTTGTCGGCCGATTACATGATAGTTCAGATTGTAAGACTCCTTGTTATGCTCAGAGAATAAAGGTAAATGGCACCGAAGAGTGCTGAATATTGTAAGTGCAGTTAAATATGATTCCAAGTATGTGAATGGTTCCGTCTGAATTACATAAAAATGTCAAGTTTTTTTTAAATGGGTTTAGAGTTAGATATGTGATGGGTAATGTTTGGTTAATTGAAAGATATCAATCTGCCCCTGCGCTAACAGGTTTGGCTGACATTTAAGCTCAGATTCCAAATATCTGCAGTATGGGGACTATAAATAGGATATTCACAACAACGGTACTTCTGATGAAGCTCCTCGAAAATGTTATTAGCACCTAGAGAGGTAGTGAGAAGTTCTGCATCCATTCTTTGCCTGCTTTGTGTGTCAACTGTAATGGTTGCTAGGCATCAAAGCCGGAGAAGGCTGGGTCTGTTTGAATCAATAGCCAAAATTCTTCGAGCCGCCTTATTTTTATAGACCTCGAAGGGGCCAGTCGAGGTAGACCGGGTCTTTGGAGGATGTAGCCTCTGAAATCAAACACATTCCATATCTTGTGGACATGAGCAGTGACTCCAAACCCGGCGCCTGAAGTACCCCAGCCCTGTTTGTCTATGCATTTCCCTTGTGCTACACACCTTATTCATACCAATGAATGATACGAATAGACCTCTGCAGCCCATGGTGATTGCAGAGGTAATACAATAATTTAAATCAAGTGTGTTAAAACACAGGCACATCTAGATATACAGAGGGTTCTTGACAACCGGCAAAAGGAACCACTAGACTAGACAAGAAAATTAAATGGTTAAACTGAAGCAGTACATTTAAAAGTAAGAGGAAAACCCTATACTGGAGGAAATATTTTTTTATTTCCACTTTCCAAATTCTTCTCCCATTATATTCTTACACTGTAGTCATACATAATCTTTCTTTATTTTTTTTTTTTTATTTTCTTTTTAATTTGTTTAGGAGATCTCTCCTGAAGATGTTTCCACAATCAGGAAAATCAATTGTCTTTGACAATTTTCCGGATCCCACTGACACTTGGGAAATCATTGAGACAATCGGAAAAGGAACCTACGGGAAAGTCTACAAGGTACTGAACAAAAAGGATGGAAGTAAAGCAGCCGTGAAGATACTGGATCCCATTCATGTGAGTCATGTTTGCAAAGTAGTAAACCACAATACTTTAATAAGGGATATAAAAAAATCCTTCATCTCTTGATTATGGAGATTCTAGCAATATCCATACAGAACATGGTTTTGGATTTAGTGTAAATAATCTAAATATGGTGAGCTTTTTCATTTTTTGCATTTTCTTGCTGTCAGTATCCAGTAGATAAGTTTGTTCTTAGACTATAGAATTTCTGTTTTCAGATTTTGTCAGCTTCTGAACTAGGTCTGGCTTTTCAATTAGGCCAAAAAAAAAAAAAAAACCAAAACAACCCAATACACTTCTACTGAGTTAAGATCTCCAGCTGCAAAGAACAACACACATCTCCAAATTGCACCAAGATAGATATGGTGTCTGTTGACAGAAGCAATAAAAAATGTAATGTTACAGTTTAAATACAAAAAATTTACTGTACCTCTCTGAGACAATTCCTGGGATAATACTTAGTTAAATGAATCAGAAGAGAAATGTCCATGCAGTGGATGATAATCTTTATGTTCTAACAAAATTCTAGGTTAACTCCATAGAGACTGGCTTAAGCAATACGAGCTTTCGTTTAACTGGCTTATAAGAGGAGGTAATGCATGCAAATCTTTGCTTTTCTTTCTGAATAAACTTCCTCACAGAATTCTGTGGTCAGTTAAATATACCACTAACTAAGTGGGGCCCAAACCCCTATACAGTACAAACATCTTGTTTTCTTGCATCTTTCAATACTGATATTATCAGATAAATGTGTAGATTAATTATCCATATCCTGATGGCGGAGGTACAGAAAGCTTACATACAGTACATGGAAATAAAAATACTCTAGATTGTGAGTCACTGAGTCCTTGGAGACAAGGGATAGTCTTATGTCCAGGAGGGGTTAAGCAAGAACATAGTTCTGCCCTTTAAAGCAAAAAGAAAAATATTTTACACATATGAAGATCTTTATCACTTATTCAAAAAGTCCAAACATGTCTATCTTTATACAATAGATAGTAGTTGAGCCTTACATATTTTTGAGGTATTTCAGCTGGTTGTTAAACTGGTCCAGTAAGCATCTGATAAGTAGAGGTGGCAGTTTGAATAGTCAGGACACAAAACCTTTTGGAAAAAAAATAGCAGGAGAAAAAGAAAATGAGATTGCTCAAAACAAATGAGGACATATCTGACCAGAAATCATTTGCTTCTGAATGTCTTTCTTTTTGGAAAACACAGTGGGTTTTCAACCTGCTGAGTCAGACACTAAAATATTATATCATGCGTTTACCTAAAGAAGTGTACTTGAAAATCAACGCTGAGTCATATATGGTTGGTCTCAAGCCTCTGGTTGCATAAACCCTAGTCTCTTACACTGTCCTCGTCTTTCCAATACAATAGGAAAATCATCTCAGCAGATTAGCCTTGAGGATTTATTTTATGCTGTTCTGACTTTCTGTCTTTCCTCTTTCTTCATTGAGCCAGAACACAATTTTAGACCAAATTAGTGAGATGCATTTATTTTAGTTTGTAGAGCAACAAACAAAAATCTGATAATGTCACGGTTTTCAGACCTGAACACAGGCATGATAAAAAACTTTTGATGCTTCCTGTTCTGTTTGAACTAATTTTCTTTTTACTGTTTATTTTAAACATGTGGTGCATATTTTTTTTCTCTTTAAAAACTCATATGAAGCTTTTTATTCTATCAAGTAAATTCAAATGTAAGCTGCAGACTATTGTTATCAGACTTTGCAATTCATATTTAAATATTTTCACCTAAAATTTACTCTACCATTTTAGTGAATCAATCAATTTGGAAGTTTTTTAAGGATTCTGAAGAAAAAAAACAAATTATATATTTCATCCAGTTTGGTAATGAAATTACACAAATTAGACATTCACAGGAGTCAAGCGGAGTACTGGTTTGATCTGTTTTTTTTTTTAACCTTAATTCGTTCATTTCCTTCTATAATTGAAGAGGTGCACCACACGTCTCATGTTTCTTTCACATACAAAATTGTCAAGGTAGTCCATTTAGAGAAGATATTAATGATATGATGTAATGAAAATGTGACTCTTCTAATTCTAACTCATCTTTGTTCTTCAATCATGTAGGATATAGATGAGGAGATTGAGGCAGAATACAACATCCTCAAAGCTCTCTCCGACCACGCGAATGTTGTCAAGTTTTATGGGATGTTCTACAAGAAGGATCTGAAATGTGGGGATCAGTTGTGGCTTGTACTGGAGGTAAGGATAACAAACCAGCGTTTTATGGATGGCCAGTGGTGCCTGGTTGCATGGTAAAAGCCTGATTGTACATTTTGTAGAGTTTCTTGCTAGATATTTGCGTTGGCACCTCAGCCTGAGCAGGGATTGTGTAAGAGTTTTAGCCACCATGGGCATCCCAGGAGTTTACTTACAGGCCACCTGGGGGATTTGGTCCTATGCCAGCTCGCATTATAGGGGTGGCTTTACAGTGAGCAGCAGAGCAGGGATTTCTATACCCTAGGGATGTCTCTGCAGATTACTTTACAACATCTGAGGCTGATATCTTCAATTGGCTTTACATTCCTTCACATGCTGTTATACAGAATCTATGCTTTTCAAGAACATTTTCTACTTCTCTTTGTACATGTACTGTAAAAACCCCTTACCTCCAGCACCAGTTTTTCTTCTTTTATCTGCCGCCACACAGTCTTCTTAAATTTTAGGTTTTAGAGAAGCGTGTAATGGAGGCCCTGCTCAGATGAGAACAAAATGAGATCTGGCAAAATATCCAATATCGGTGTTTACTCATTTACTAATTTACTGATTTAGCACCTGCACTCAGGACAAACTTGGGGACATCAAATGAACTATAATATATTTTATGCTAAATATATTTTAACAAAAGAATTTGATTCAGAACTTCATTTAAAATGGTCTTTTTCCACCAGAAAAAAAAAAATGTATGTCCAAGAATTCAAAGAAAAAAAAAAAAAATACAATTGCTTTTACACATTCTTCAAAATGGGCAACACAAGAAAAATGTAATTCAAGTAAAACGAAGGTGTATTAATTTAAACTGCTGCCCTAATATTTCCTAAATCTATTTTTAAAGCAGTAGCTTAACTGTATAGGGAAGCTGAATCTCTGATACACAAGACTGAATTATATGGGGGCCATGTAAATGCATCAATTCACAGCAAGTTCAAAAAGTCCTGCAAACACAAAAATTATTCAAACCCAAAACACATAAAGGAAAAATGCCGCAAAGAAGACATTTTAACAGTATAGAGACAAGCTTTGCAAACAAAATACTGGCTGCAAAAAAGATAAATGATATCAACACACAGAAAAACACATTCCAAAGGAAAATGCAGCAAGAAGCAAAACAAACTGCAAGTTAAGAAAAGCTGCAAACAATGGCTGCATTTAATAATAGCTTATTGGTTAAGGCCATCTGGAAAAAACAAAAAAACTGTACAGTTTAGTACAGTAAAGGTTTTGTTGTATGGGGACCTGTTTTTCCTCCATTGGGCTAGGGCTGAATAAAAAGGACTGAAAACTATAGCCTCCTGAATACCTTTCAAATCTACCCTATGCTTTAAATTTAGAGTTGTTGTGCCCCAACCTTAATATGTTGATATCTGCATCACATTCTGTGGTGTGATACATTTTTCAGCTGAAACGCAAGAAATACAATTTATTGTCATGCTCTGTGTCCTGTGATCTTTGTGATGTTGGTCTATTTGCTGCTAAAGGAGGATTCTATATGTTTGCAATCAAATCACTGTGTGTTCTGCTTTGACAACAGCTGTGCTGTGCAGTACCAACAGATAGTCTCAACTTTCCATCTTGTGTTTCTAGTCCTTTCCATTACCATTCTTCCTCCAGACCTTTACACAGATCCTTGAGCATGCCTTATTCGGAAGTCATGCAAAATTAAAGAAGGACACATGCAAAAACATGAGATAAATACAATCTTTTATCACAAATACATTTTACCTCACCTTCTTTGGTGGTGCTTGCTTAAAGGCAGCAGTGATTTGTAATATAGGAAATAGGGCTCACTGCCCTGGGAGGAATGATCTAGGGTGTTGCAGCTAATTTTGAAAAATAAATATTTAGAAGGCTAGAAAATACAGCCTTTACCTCTATTGCTTATATAGCTATCAGCAGCTAATCATAGAACTTACTCTGTTGGTTTAGTTTTTGTTGTTGTTGTGTTTAAGGTAAGGACTTTGCATATTTCAGTATCTAAATAAAGTTGTCTATCCAGAGCTGCACAGCGGTACAGTTTGTTGCACTGTTGCCTTGCAACCAGAAGGCCCTGGATTTGAATACTGGTTTAAGGTCTTTCTGTACTAATTATGCATGTTTTTTTTTTGTTGTTGTTTTTTTTTTCTGTGCATGCATGGGTTCCTTCTGGGTACCCATTTCTTTCACAGTCTAAAATCATGACTGTTAGGATGATTGGCATCTCTAAATTGCCCTTAGGTGTATGTGCAAGGCTGTCTGTCTCTATGATTGATGTGAGTCCTGTTCAGGGTGTTCTCCACCTTTTGGTAGAGTATGGATAGATGGAAGTTATGTGTCCTTTTAAGAAATATTACGTTTTTTGGGTTTGTAAGAAAGTGCCTAGCCAGGGCACCATTCTAGCAAGTACTGCCACTGAAGAAAGGCCATGTTTCCTTTGTTATGCAAATATCATGTGACCTTTGTTTACTCCTTGACTGCACATTTCCCTTGCAAGAATCCTGCAGCATTCTAACTCTGGTGGCTAATGCTGAGATTGAAATCACTGCCTGACAGTTTAGTGAGTGGCTGTGTCGGTGCTGTGAGGTTATTAATGTGCCTGAGCGGTGTGAAGAAGGTACAGATCGAGTGTCAGGAGGTAAATGACAGAAAAGAACGTAGAGAGATGGACACTCACCATGGTTACTCTTCCTTCTTTTGAAACTATAATTTTCCATCCTCTTGCTGGAATGAGAGGAGCCTTTTGCACAGAAGACCACTCATTATGAGCTGAATTCATAGAAAGCTGCATCCTCTTCTTTGTTAGCCGCTTTATTGAGGTCTTGGAGCTTTTGGCTTTGACTCTGTAGTGCGTTCCTTTATGGCTGCAGATCTGGGCAGAAATGAGCAATCTTTCATGTGCGGAAGCTGGCTTAGTGAGGTTAAAAATACTTCCAAGAGATCGATGATTGGGTAACTTTTGTTCTCTAACCGAAAATGAGACACTGATTTGGGTTTGCTTTTCATTTGAAAGACCAATGTTGCATCAAAGAAAAATGTTAATGAGGGGAAAAACCTGCTTATGAAAAGTCATATTTTTAAAAAACGTTAATGTACTTTTCTTTATTGGATTTTATATTGTTCCCTCTTCTGTCATATTGCAAAATTGTGAAAAATATATAAGTAAAAATAAGAGAATCTTTGAAGAGAAATTCACCACAAATCACAACAACTCAGGCATGGCATCTTTGTTCAGTAGACAGAATATGTCAAATTTGCAGTAATTGCATGTTTAACTTTATGAAATCCAGACTTGATCCATCATTATTAGGCAGGCCACACTGATTTAATTGTAACCTATGTTTTTATAAGCTTCAGAGTTTTAGATTATATGTTTTGTGGTTTGTATATATGTGTGTATGAATGAATGAAATACAGCACCTGAGAGTAACAAAGGACTGGTGGAAAGTGCTCTGTTGGGTTGCAGTAGTACCAGACAGCCAAATACAATGCATCACCCCAGGGCAGCCATAAAGCACACACAGAAGTAGGTCATGCGTGAGCCACAAGAGCAAGGGAGGGAGTTGGATGCAGGGCACAAGCCCATCCTAAACAACCACACTGCAGTACCTGGCCTTTCAGGGCAAGTCCCAGCAGCAAGACTCCCTGGAAAGAGGTCTATTGGAGACCTTCAGAACACCCAACACACATTCTCTATAGCCCATTGTCAGTATGGCACAATTCTGGGAGCCATTAGCCACCTAAGGGATCATTCTGGGACTTGGCCAGAGCACCCACACACACAGAACCTTAAGACCCCGCCTTACCCCCAGTTTCCACATACTCCGTCAGCGCTCCACCCTGCTCATGTATGTCGTGCGGAGTACTTGTGTCTCATCTTAATCAATGAGAACATTTCCAGATCCACTGCTACTCCGCTCGTCACTGTACACGTACATCTTCTCCGTCTGTCACCATCAAAATACGGAGCCGAGCTATTTTTTGCTACGCTTCGGTCCTTTCAGGTCAAGATCCGCGATTGCAAAAAAAACAGTAAAAAGAATGGCAAAAAGATCAGATTTGTCAAATTAAAATATAGTAACGACAGTTCAGTATTTACAAATTAGAGCATAATTCTTATATATTCCCAAAAACTAAGACCGTTTAATTAAATGATTGGATGCAAACTATTGGTACTTCAACATACCAGGAAGCAGATTTCTCATCTCCATCAAATATTTATTTAATACAGAGATGCTTTAAAGTTTAATCAAATCCAGTCAAAACTTCCAAAAAGCGCATCTGACAACTTCAAAACAAACTTCTTATCGCAGGCATGGATAAGGAGATGCTGAATTTGGAAGTAGAGAACAAACATAGTTCATACTAACCAATTTTGTATGATCCTAGTTATCCCTGTTACAAAATTTGCTCAAAAACTGCACATATGCTGGTTGCTGATGGGGATTTTTTTTAAATGTCATATTAGATTAAGCGATCATTACCACATGTTTTACCCCTATGAAGTTAATAATGATATTGCAGATGCTCTCCTCACGTCCCGAGGAAGTCGGAGCAGAGCAGGACGAGAGGAACAGCGGAGGCTGTAGGCTTTGCTTTTCACAGGAGGTCTGGAGCGGGTCACTGTGGATGGTGGGATTTTAGGGTTACACTGTCAGTATATGAAAATGTAATCACTCCCCTCGCACAAAAATAAATTAATTGTGATCAACCATATCTTTTTTTTGGTTGAATATCAATCCAGCCCAGATTATTAAAACAACAAGTCTGCAAAGACATCGCAAAATGCTAGGCTTCATGCCCCAATCTGAAGGAATTTCAGAAAAGTTGAGACACAAAGTCACTGACTTTGATCAGTTTGAAAAGTTTCTTTTGGGGAGCCCACAGTGAGAGCCATTATTAACTTATTTAGAATCCATGGGAAATTAGTAGACCTTCCTTGGAGGGTTCGTCTGATTGAAGTTATTCTGAGAATGATAACTCATCCAATGTTTTAGTTCTGGACTGCT